CTAATATAACGGTCAATGAAGTTGTGAATTTTAAACGTAGGTCATTCAAACAATAAAATCTTCTTTTCCATGCTCCGATACTCCTTTCGACCAAATTCCTCGTCTTTATATGTTTCTTTTGGTAAATCATCTCCGCTAGCGTATTAGGATCACTTAATGGTGTCATAAGATACGTTTTACAAGGATATGCTGAATCACCGAGCAAATGTCCTGTATAACTTTGTGATTCTAATACGTAATAAGGTTCACTGTGTTTAAATATTCTACTATCGTGAGTACTTCCTGGCCATCTTGCATTTATGTGTAAAAATTTCATATTATGGTCAAAAACAACTTGACAGTTAACTGTTATCTCATTTTTTCGGTTTCTGAATCTTTCATGTAAATCTTTCGGTACTTTCACTTTAATATGAGTTCCATCAACAACACCAATTACACCAGGAAACCCTGCAATCTTTGAAAAACCAGAATGCAACTGGATTAGTGAATGAGTATCCGCTAGCGTAATTTATATTTACCTTGGCTTCTTCTGTTGGAGATGGGAAAACAATGAATTGTGGAAGTTTTCTTGCTAGAACAGTAGACACCTTCAGTACTATTCGTGAAATTGTTGGTTGGGAAAACCCGATTAGATCACCACTCACTATTTGAAATGAGCCAGTTGCGAAGAATCTCAATGCTATAAGTAGTTGATTTTCGGGACTAACAGGGTGATTTCGTTTTCCAAATATTTCTATTTCATCTTTGATGAGATCGAGTAGCACGTGGAAGGTCTCTTTATTCATTCGGAACCTTTTTTTGAATTCAAAATCATCAAACAGTACAAGAAGGTCATTTTTCGGTAATATTGTTCTTCTTTGAGGATTTCTACGCTGGCGAAAACCAAAAGCGAATAGATATTCATCCATTTTTCAGAATTTAGGAGAAAACTTAATTAATTTTCACTCAAAGATCAGAAAAGCACATGCAAATGAAAAGACAGTCGAGATCAGGAGATGATCTTGGTAA